TTGAGGGTCCGCGTTGCGCACAGGCCATAGGTGCAGCCCCCCTTCCTTGGGAGTGGTGGTGTGATCGAGGGGGGCCTTTAAAAGGCAGCGGCGTGGCGTTGGGGGGGTTACCTGGGTTTGCGCTGCCAAACACCTGCCACCCACCCTTGATTTAGGTTTGTGCTTTGGCCTCGCTCTGGACTTTGGTTGGTCGCCTGTTTTGGAACAGGGGCTGGGTAGGAATTTTTTCCATTTGGCAAATTGGTACTGGCCTCTTGGTCTTTGCCTACCTCTTAGCAATTGTCACAACTTTGTAAGGTTTGGCGGTAAGGCATTGGCTTAGTGAAATGTGGGGGAGGGGAGGGGTGGCCATCACCTGCCCCTCCAGGTACAAGGGGATTCTGCTAAAGGAATCTGCAGGTCCGGATCTCGTCCAAAGTCTGCTTGGGAGGCTAGGGCCATGCCAGGACCCAGCGGGAACCCCGGGGTGAGTTTCAGTTGGTCGCCATTGATGGAGCTCCCTCTGTTGGTGGTTTACTCTTCCAGACTTCCTGCAAGACGGGCAGGAGTCCGATATAGTTATTGCCAATGCCTAAGCCAGGCATGCCAAAGTCCGTTTTGGGGGCCTAATTTGCAAGTAAAGTATGGATTAACCAGTGAAACACAATGGCAATACATCTAATTGAAACATATGTTGGAAAGGCAGTTTGGCCCTGACACTATAGCAGCATCGGAAACACCCATGTTGCTACAAGATTTAATTTCTGCAGCAAAAACAAAAAACTCTACACTTGCACTATATAAAACTCTACTCAACAGGAAGAAATATGATTTAGAATATGATAGACAAAAATGAAGAGTTGGGGCTCCAGATAAGAAATAATATATGGGAGTCAAGTATAAAATCAACAGAAATAACCTCTATGGATCTAAGACTAAGACTTATTCAACAGAAAATAATATTCAGAGTCCACTGGACTCCAGCAAAACTATACCAGAAGAAAATAACAAGTACAGACAACTGCTGGAGATGTGGGAGTAAAAATGCGAACTTAGTACATATGATGATTCAATGCCCGATAATAAGATCATTTAGGTGTGAGGTGAGGATATTTATAGCAAGAGTAATAAAAAGAAATTGTTATTTAGCGGAATTAAATTTAATTCTAAATTATATTCTGGAAACGTGGGAGATTACAAGGGGTAAAAAAAATAAAAATGGATGTACCGTGCGATATTAGAAGCAAAAAAAACTTGTTTTGATGATTTGGAAGAGCCGCAAAAAGATTCCATTGAGCACATGAATTGATAATATGGACAGACTAGCTACATACAAACAAATTGCATGTCGATGGAAATAAAGAATGGATAAATATGAAGAAATCTGGAAGGAATATTTAAGCGATAAGGCGGATAATGGTGGGAAGTAGGGGGAGGAGAGAGAGGCGGGAAAATATTGTTAAAAAGGTGTAGTCATAGGTCTATCAGTGTATCCAAATCTGAATTGTCAAACTGTGTTATTAGTGTTATGGTGTTTGTTGTGTGTGTGCCCAAAGTCCGTTTCGGGGGTCTATTTCCTGGGGTAAAATCACTGGAAAAACCCTCAACGGTTAAACCCAATACCACTCACATTGCTGTGCTCAAGAAAGTTGTGGCCTAAATTTTGCCCATTCACCTTCAGAGTCCAATGCTGTCTCAATGTGTTCTCCTTCTCTTGGGGTTGGGCCTTGATGCGCAACTGAGTTCTGTGGTGATAGGGAGCTTAGAGGCGCAAATGCAAAAAGCAGTTTCGGGACGTAGATCAGGAGGGGACGAACTGTGAGCCCCATTTCTCACATTTTCCTCTTTCTTTTCTAGGTTTACCAGGTTGCGAAAAGCCTTTTCGAGGATGGCAAGGAAAAATAAAGTGGGCCCTGTCCCCGAGTCCTCCCCCCCCGCCCCTCCGCCCCCCCCTTGCAGGCCCCTTTTCGTAAGGACTTCCAAGGTAAAACCTATAGAAAAGCCTATAGAAGCTGATTCCAGTCCCTGAGATTTCTCAGGGAAGGTCTCTGTCTGAGGCCTGTTTGGAGCTTTAGGTCATCATATCCCATGTGGCTCTTTGTTTCCCCGCAGGCTCAGGGAAAAAGAAGGACAGTCCCCCTGAAGGTAATGTCTGTTTCTAGGGATGTGTTCAGAAAGTCTCTCTCTCTCTGTGTGTGTGAAAGAAGCCTCTCTAACTGGCAGCCTTCTCTTCTTTCCCTTTCAGAAGAGCTCGTCCTGGAAGACCTGGAGGAAGAGGAGGAAGGCCTTGGGGCACCTTAACCCATCGTTAAGGGTTCTTGGCTTCTGTGTCTTTCCTTGAAGGTTGCGGAGATGAGGTGGTGGCGCAGCCTTGTCCCGCTGCCTCTCAGCAGGCGCCGCCCCAGGCCAAGGCCGTTTGCTGGGCCCAGCCGTGGAAGCAGCAGCCCCTGCCAGGTATGGGGGGGGGGGAAGGCTGTGGTCCAGAGCATCTCTCCCAGGCTCTGGCAGCGCATCCGGAAGGTGTGGGACTAGAGAGAGGTTTGGGATGGGGAAAGGCATTCAGCTGTCAACCTCGCTCTTGTATTTTAGATTTTTGTACACAGCTTTGTGGGCCTCGGCTTTTAAGCAATTTATAAATTCGGAAAATACATTTTTTAAAAATTACATTGGCTCCTATTGTTTCAATTTCCTGTTCGCACCAAAGGTAACTATCAGAATATATTGTACTAGGATGATTTTACAGATTCCCGAGTTGGAAGATGTTATCGATAGGTGGCAATGTTCCTCTCTGTACTCTACTTTCCGGGCACCCATATTGTCTAGCCTAAATGCCAGTAGCAGCCTTCAGCGGTGCATGCTGGTGCCTAGTGTTTTGTTGTCGCTCTTCTCTGTGAAAACAGAAGTGTGGGTCTGCATGCAGTGTTAGGTTTTATGCATTCTTCTTCCCCATATTGTTTGACACTTCCTTTGCTTTCTCTTCCTAGACACCCCGTGAAGTGGCCCAGCAGGCGGTAGGTGCGGATGTGCATTGCGTGGGGGTGAGCACCTTGGCTGCTGTCCTGAACTCCTCAAAGAGCTGCATGCCGCCCAGACATTCTCGTCATGTGTGGAGGCGTCATCCCTCCCCAGGTACAACGCAGTTGAGAAGCAGTCAGAGAACAACGCAGTTGAGAAGCAGCCTCCCAAAAGCTTTCGAAAACTGTCAATATTATCAAATAATTTAAAAATCACTTTTTAAACTTTAAAATATTCATAAACATTTTAAGAAATGAAGAAAAAAGGGACCAGTTTCCTTTACTGAAATAGAAAATATATTAAAAAAATCTTCCAGAATTTGCTTTTTTTCCGGGGGGTGCGGGTGGGGTGGGGTTATAAACAAGAATAATGTTATACAAATGAGTATACTGTACCAAGTATTCTTATGTTATTTGTATATCACAAAAATAGCATAATAAATGGGAAATATCTACAACATATGTTTCATTATTAGTGGTCAAGGTAGAAGTTCTTAGTTCATGAATTGGTTTAAACAGTTAGGAAGAAGAAGGGAAGAAAGGGCTGGAGGGGGGAATGGCGAGTGGAGTGGGGAAGAATTTGCTTTTCTGCTTTGAAACTCTTGATCTTGGTATAATTGTTGCACCTGGCAAAAGATTCGTATAGAGCCACAAGTCTCTGGCTGTCTTGGAGCCGAGGTGAAAATGTTCACCACTTTTGATGATTTCATTCTTTATGTTACATAGGATAACACCTAGAGCAGAGATTGCTTGAACCTGTAGTCACTAGGACTTTGCACACATGGCGAGGTTTGCGTAGGTGAAAGCATCACTGCTTTCCCCCCATAGCTAGCATACCAAGTTATTTTCCCTTCTCCATGTTTGCTACCTCCTGACCTGCCATTGCTAAACTCTGCTCTTTTAGCATGTGTTCTGCAGAATTTTACTTTACAAAGTTTGCATGCATGTTTTATGTCTGTTTTTCTCCTGCACAGGATTATGACTTCCTGTATGCCTCTGGTGTTTCCAATATATTTGGCCCTGGAACCTGAATCCCAAAGGCAGCTGTCCAAGTTCTTGATGATATTGAGAAATGCTTGGAAATGAGGCAGCAATCTCTGTAAACCTCTGTCTCATAACAAACTTTATATCTTATAGTTTGTGTTGATGCATTGTGATTTGTTGATAAAATTGTTAAATCATCTACAATGTCTGGTGTTGCCTTATGCTTTCTAAGAAAGTGGGAAATCATCTGCAATATTATTACATATGTATGTAAGATCTATCAAAGAATCTAAATGAAATGAGAAAATTTAAAGTTTTTGCATATAAGACTGCATTATATCTGAAATACACTTCAGATCTTTGGAAATGCAAATTACAATTTAAAATAAATGTTACTGATACAGAAAGGTAGCGAAATTATGTCCTGCCGTTTCATACTGTTTCTTCACCTGCCTCTTGCCCTTTCGGTCCAGTCTCGTTGCCCTAGCTTTGTTTGCTTGTCAGATTGACAAATATCCATTCCCTACCCCTGGTAGTCTGCCTCAGGCACAGGCAGCCTTCGGCCCTCCAGATGTTTTGGCCTACAACTCCCATGATCCCTAGCTAACAGGACCAGGGGTCAAGGATGATGGGAATTGTCATCCAAACATCTGGAGGGCCAAAGGCTGCCTATGCCTGGTCTCCCTTTTTCTTTTCCTGCTCAATAGCCTCTGTAGAGTCTGAAGTTGGTGGCCTTGCTGGAGATATGGGCAGTTTCCAGTTCTGTGACCTCACGAATCCTGTACTGAGATGACATGCACAAGACGGGTAGACCCACCCTTTTATGAAAAGTCCTTTTTTTGTAAGGTTCTGGCTCAACAGCCTTAACAGAAGTATTGAAGGGGGAGGTGTTAACAGCCCGTTAAGCAAAGGTCTTTTCTTATTCTTCAAGACGCCTGTGCCTCTTGAGACTCCATCATTGACACCTGAGCTCAGCATCCCATACAGTCCAACAAAAGCACAAAAACAAATGCCAAGTTCACCAACATTACAATCTCTTTTAACTGCATAAATACCTCCTCTGCCAGCTATTAATATAGCAAACTCTAATTTAGTCCATGTGCTCAAAATTCCTTGCGATTCCTCAGTTCTTGCTGGCAGGTCTTTTTTTTTTTTTTTAAAGAACAGAGACCTCGGAATTATCCTGCAAGCAGTTTATTATAAACTTCCTAGGAATTACTGCCCTTGCAGTGTTTCCCTGGGAGATTTCATGATCTGGACTTTGGAGCAACGTTTTCAAATAAGACTTCTGCAGCTGCAGCTGATGGATTTGGGAACTTCTCCACTGTCTGTCTTTCTGAATGAAGAAATGTGCGCGTTATCCCTTCCTGACCAAATCACTGACACATGGCTATTGGTGGTATGCTTGGTGCTAAAATAAACTTTCTGACCACAGCAGCACTGGAGGCGCTTAATTTCACGCCGGAAAGTTTTGCTGAAAGCATAGTAAATGAAAGGGTTGTAGGCTGTTGAGGATTTAGCAAAAAGACATGGCAACAAGGTAACGATGGGCGGTATTGATTCACTGGAGTGAAATATTGACCAGAAGCTGACTGCGGCATATGGTGTCCATGCGCTGAGGAATCCCACGCTGATCAGTACAGCCATCTGTAAAAACAACCACTTATAGTTAGTTAGTTACTGGCTGGCTTTTTATATTTTCTCCTTCTCTATCTGTTATTTCGAATCGGTGAGAGAGAAATGAAGGATTAGTGCTTTAACATTTAAGAGATATTTAAACAATTGGCTCTTGCATTCATTTTAGGCTGTCCATTTTATCCTAAGACCCCAAAGCAGTATCCTCTGCAGTACAGCAGCCCTCCAGCAGAATAAAATAACACAAGATCAGGATAAGAAATTAAGAACAGCATCCTTTGTGTTTATCAGATGCTTTACATCATAATGGAATGTCACCTGTTTCAAATTATAGTCCTATAGAAGAAAATATGCCAGGACCTCAGCATCTCATACAATAGTAATATATATACCACATGCTTCCTCTATGAGCCCATGTATTGCAAGATCTGAGAGTTACAGTATACAGGTTCATCATTAAGTTAGTCCCCAGTATGTATGTGGCTGCGAAAACCCAACCAGATGGGTGGGGTATAAATATTTATTTATTTATAATATTATTTCTCGTTAATACAATAAACTTCCATACAAATGAATCTAACAACAGAGGAGTTGCTCAATGTCTGCAACTCAAATGGAACACAAACCATACATGAAGGCAAACACACACAAACAGCCCAGTCCATAGCATCCATAAGTGCTTTGGCATTTCCCCAATAATTTGACAATAATTTTCAATCTGTAGGGCCAGAATCAATGTCTGAGTCAAAGGAACACTGTGTTCCTATTGCTCTTTAAAATACAAAAATAGTCTGCTCACAACAAGACATACCCACCAATGTCAATTTCTTCTCCAGCTTGGCTGCATTTGAAGTCCTGTTGAAGTTCTGCATCTTTTGATAGGTTTTATGAACCTTCCAGGCTATACCCAAGTAACAGATGGTGATGGTAATTGCTGGCAGAATGGTACACAGAATGAACATGCTCAGAATAAAGGAAAGCCCATTAGCCGAGTTGTGGAACTGGCTCCAGGCTATGGTGCAGGAAGTGCCAAATGGTTCTGGGCCGTAATGCCCCCAGCCCAGCAGAGGCAACGTGGCCCAGAGGGCTGCATACAGCCAGATCAAGGCAATAGAAACATGGATGACTTTTCTGTTGATTGTATTACCTAGGAATAGAAAAGAAAGTAGAATATAGACACCAACACTATTTGAATAACATAGAAATGTGCCAGGCAATTATCTCTGTCGCTCTGTTGTCCAGCTTTCCTGAGTTTCAGACCTCCCAGGTTCTATTTGGAGATGGCAAGGACTGAGCATGCGATTTTCTGCATGCCCTGTAAGCCATGACCCTTCGCTTGGGCTGTGGAGACATTATGTACGTGATCTCCGTCAAAAATAACTGTTTGAGTTATGGCTATATAGACATACTTTAGAACACACTCGTCTAGTGTGATACTTTTGTGTATATTGCCTGACAACATTTACAGGCCTAAATAAAGCATTCTCAGGGAAGCTTAAGATATTTCCATTGGTCACCAGATGTGGTTAACTATCTTTGGCTAGTAGCAGAGGTACACAGCCAATGTAAAGAAGAACAGTGTTTTTCACACCAGCACCACAGTGCCAACTCCTACATGGTATTATGCATTTCAATTTACAGCTCAAAACATGTTTATGGCCAGACTGTATATCCGCCCCCATTGTTTACTGCAGCAATGCTAAATATATCTGATCTATAAACACACAGAAAAGGTCTAATAGGCTCTTTAAAATATTATTCCCTTGGCCTTGACATGAAGTCTAAAGCTTTGAAATTGTTTCACCTTTGCCACCCTTCTGTGCTTTGTTACTCACTATTGGACTTTGAAGAGTGGGTTACAAGAAAGCGGATTACAGCCATCACAGACAAGGTCATCATGCTGGCGACACCAAAGAGGAAACCCATCAGGGCATAATAAATGCAAGTTGCATCGCCCCCCAGCCAGGCATGGTTCCAGGCAGAAGCAATAGCCAGGGGATACATGCTGATGGCCATTCCAAGATCGGTTACGGCCAAATTAACCGTCAGGAGCTCAGGTGACCTGAGATGGGAGGAGCGCTTCACAGCTACTGCCAGGACAGCTGAATTCCCCAGAACTGTCAGGATGCCTGAAAGGAGGAGGAGGAAAGCAGTGTGGTTTTCAGGCATTCATAATCAGTCAACAAACCGGTGCAAGATGCAGACATCATGACCCACAGCCAGTGAATACTCTATAACTCAAGGTTTAGAAGCCATAGCAGTCTTCTTTTTTAACGAGAAGTAGGCATTTTATTCACAGGCCTTTCTCCACAATAGGTAATGTGTTACTCAAAGTAACATGAAACAGCTTGTGAATTTATATCAGTGGATTTGTGACTGAAGGACAGGTAAGGGTCAGAGCAAAAGTGGATTCTGTTTCAGCCACAAATTAGTCACTTTCTAGCATCTACTCTTGATACCTGTGGTATGCTCTCTTCAACACTGTAGAGTTATTATCTTGACATTGTAAAAGGTGAATTGAAATGTGCATCCAAAAGAAAATGTTGGTGGGGTCGCCTGCCATTCCACAGCATAGCAATCCCTAGAGTAGTAAGACGTGGGGAGGGCGAGAAGGTTGTCCAGTCCTGACACCCTTGTTGGTGCAAACTGTGCTCAATAGCAGATTTTCGGACAAGACAAAATGGGTGGAAGTGATTGGGAATATGGTTCTGGACACTCCCAATCTTATGATTCCGTGGGTCTCAACGTTCAAGCTCTCTCCCTCCTCCACCCCCAAACCTTGATAGCCATGTCTCGAGGTTTCATGGCCTCAGTGAAAACTACTAAGTAGCATCTGCACTCACCTGATCAAATATTGATTTAGGCTGTATTCCTACACACAATTACCTGGAAGTAAGTCACAATGAAGTCATCTAACCTTACATTTCAGTAGACATGTATAGGATTGCACTGCCAGTTTGTTGTCAGCTCTGGACACAAAGTTGTCCTGAGCACCTTGAAAGAAGGATTGAAAGAAAGGGTGGTGTCCAGAGAAGTAGTTCCACTAGAACTAGAACTTCTGTTTGTGTAGAGAACAACCCTTGCTGCTTCTCCCCTTGTGCCTGCTCCACAGATCTGCTCCGGAGGGTGAACCACAGAAAATAAGACGGAACCCTTTCTCTACCATTTACATGTGAAGAGAACATCTTGTTAAGGGCCACCCCAATCTCTGCCAAGTGGTGTGAGGTTCCAGGAGTCTTCGCCCTTATCCAGGGTTCATGTTTCTTTTGGAAAAATGAGGCACAGCGGAGTCTTTAAGATAATATGGTTTTACTTACACATATATACACCTTAACCTTGATGGAGGGAGTGCAGAGGGTGAATGTCATTTTGCCAACCTTTCAGGGCAAAGTCTTCCCATTATAGCTTTCAAAAACTAGCTTATGACTACAGTATCTAGCGATGGCTTCGATAGTGGAGGGGACCATTTCAGCCACCACAGATAAAAGCCTTCATGTGACCTTTTCAGTCTCTGCACTCATTTCACAAGTCTGTGCCAACTCATCCAACAGAGATTCAGACACCATTAGGAGAATGTGTGAGGGGAACCGTGTAGGATACTTGCACCTCAGCATGCCTCATGCTCATGCCCCTGTCCACAAACTCTGCTGCACATAGAAATCCTTCACCCACTAGCTGTCACCATCAAAAATAATACGTGTGTTTATCTCAAAATGCTAATGAGCTTCAGCCGACTTTGATCTGCGACCTCCTTCCCAACAGCATATTCTGCAAAACTCCATCCATCTATAGGAGCCTTTGCCACCATGGACCAACCTCCAGATATTTTGGATTACAGTAGCAGTGCTGGCTGCAACTGGTGGGAGTTATAGTCCAAAATTATTATTATTATTTATTAAATTTGCTAGTTGCTTTTTCTTGCCCAAAGCAAGCTACTAACTAACTAACTAACTAATTAACAAAAAAACCCCACATAGATACATTAAAACCAAGCAGGGAAAGAAAAACATTTTTGAGGGCACGTGACTGATGAAGGCTGATTTAAACTAAATTTTGAATGAGCTGCTAAATCATGTACTATATGTGTCTTTCTGTAATGCATGCAACAGTCAAATATACAACTCAGAAATTATTCAGTTTCCAGAAAAAACCTAATAATAAAAAACTTTTAAAACCCTATATCCACACTCAAGCCACACATCCTCCAACCCCTCTGAAGACAAAATAACAGTACACCATAGCACCAAAACAAGAGAGAAGCAACTTTACTTTATAGCAATAAACAGTCAATCATGGAGACCTCACTGCTGCTTGCACTAGAAGTCCTCTAAATACGCAGTCCCGAATGAGCAGAAAGGCAGGACTTACCTATAACCAAAAGAAACACCCCTGCTCCATAATCCCCTGAGGGGTGCAGTTTGGAGATGTAGTGCTCTTCCATGTCCCGTTGTGGAGATGGAGAAAGTTCTGAAGCCAAGGAAAGCAGGGCGGTGGGGAGGAGAGGCAACTCCTTAGCTTGGCTGCTGGGCAGACAGGGACAGCGAGGACAGTCCCAACCCCCTGCAATGGAGGAATATATGGCTGGCCCATCTGGGGATCAAACCTGCCACTGTGGCAATTTATTTGTTAAGAGGGGGAAAGGGAACAGTTCTTCATAAGGATCAGAATAAATGGGGCTGAAATTGCGTCATTGAAAGCACCATCCTGGATTTGGAAAACTGATACCAGGAGCCATGGGTGCAAACAGCATTTATTGTGGGGCAGGCTTTATCTTGGAGGCTAAGGGCAGAGTCATCTGTGATGCAATTGGTCAGTTAGTTAAGTATTTTTATTGATTAACTTGATTTAGAGGGGGCAGCTCCCCCCCCCGCCTCCCTGGCTACGCCCATGCCAGGAGCCTGACACATCGTCTTGGGTGGGGTGATGCTTTCAAGAAAGCAATCCCCAATATTCATTTTCTTTCGTTTTATGAACTGGTTTTATAATGTGGTTTGGTTTTATAATGTGTTAAAGAAAGCAATAATATTTTGCTATCATCATGATAGCTTCTACGGATAAATTTGACTAAGAACACTTTGTCGCGTCCCTTGAGAGGAGCAGGGCTTGTGGCTGATGGTTTTCTCAGGGCCCAGGGGTGCTGCATCGCGCGAGGTTCATTGTGACATCTCCCTCTGCTGGCTCATTGGTCGCCAGAGCTCTAGAAGGCCTGGGATCTCCTATGCTTGGATCATTCTGTGCTTGTGAGAGTAGAGAGAGCATGTAAGTAGGATTTCTTTCAGCATATCGGATCCTCTTAATTGAGGGTCCGCGTTGCGCACAGGCCATAGGTGCAGCCCCCCTTCCTTGGGAGTGGTGGTGTGATCGAGGGGGGCCTTTAAAAGGCAGCGGCGTGGCGTTGGGGGGGGGTTACCTGGGTTTGCGCTGCCAAACACCTGCCACCCACCCTCGATTTAGGTTTGTGCTTTGGCCTCGCTCTGGACTTTGGTTGGTCGCCTGTTTTGGAACAGGGGCTGGGTAGGAATTTTTTCCATTTGGCAAATTGGTACTGGCCTCTTGGTCTTTGCCTACCTCTTAGCACTTGTCACAACTTTGTAAGGTTTGGCGGTAAGGCATTGGCTTAGTGAAATGTGGGGGAGGGGAGGGGTGGCCATCACCTGCCCCTCCAGGTACAAGGGGATTCTGCTAAAGGAATCTGCAGGTCCGGATCTCGTCCAAAGTCTGCTTGGGAGGCTAGGGCCATGCCAGGACCCAGCGGGAACCCCGGGGTGAGTTTCAGTTGGTCGCCATTGATGGAGCTCCCTCTGTTGGTGGTTTACTCTTCCAGACTTCCTGCAAGACGGGCAGGAGTCCGATATAGTTATTGCCAATGCCTAAGCCAGGCATGCCCAAAGTCCGTTTCGGGGGCCTAATTTGCAAGTAAAGTATGGATTAACCAGTGAAACACAATGGCAATACATCCAATTGAAAAATATGTTGGAAAGGCAGTTTGGCCCTGACACTATAGCAGCATCGGAAACACCCATGTTGCTACAAGATTTAATTTCTGCAGCAAAAACAAAAAACTCTACACTTGCACTATATAAAACTCTACTCAACAGGAAGAAATATGATTTAGAATATGATAGACAAAAATGGAGTGAAGAGTTAGGGGTACAGATAACAAATAATATATGAGAGTCAAGTATAAAATCAACAGAAACAGCCTCTGTGGATCTAAGACTAAGACTTATTCAACAGAAAATAATATTCAGAGTCCACTGGACTCCAGCAAAACTATACCAGAAGAAAATAACAAGTACAGACAACTGCTGGAGATGTGGGAGTAAAAATGCGAACTTAGTACATATGATGATTCAATGCCCGATAATAAGATCATTTAGGTGTGAGGTGAGGATATTTATAGCAAGAGTAATAAAAAGAAATTGTTATTTAGCGGAATTAAATTTAATTCTAAATTATATTCTGGAAACGTGGGAGATTACAAGGGGTAAAAAAAATAAAAATGGATGTACCGTGCGATATTAGAAGCAAAAAAAACTTGTTTTGATGATTTGGAAGAGCCGCAAAAAGATTCCATTGAGCACATGAATTGATAATATGGACAGACTAGCTACATACAAACAAATTGCATGTCGATGGAAATAAAGAATGGATAAATATGAAGAAATCTGGAAGGAATATTTAAGCGATAAGGCGGATAATGGTGGGAAGTAGGGGGAGGAGAGAGAGGCGGGAAAATATTGTTAAAAAGGTGTAGTCATAGGTATATCAGTGTATCCAAATCTGAATTGTCAAACTGTGTTATTAGTGTTATGGTGTTTGTTGTGTGTGTGCCCAAAGTCCGTTTCGGGGGTCTATTTCCTGGGGTAAAATCACTGGAAAAACCCTCAACGGTTAAACCCAATACCACTCACATTGCTGTGCTCAATAAAGTTGTGGCCTAAATTTTGCCCATTCACCTTCAGAGTCCAATGCTGTCTCAATGTGTTCTCCTTCTCTTGGGGTTGGGCCTTGATGCGCAACTGAGTTCTGTGGTGATAGGGAGCTTAGAGGCGCAAATGCAAAAAGCAGTTTCGGGACGTAGATCAGGAGGGGACGAACTGTGAGCCCCATTTCTCACATTTTCCTCTTTCTTTTCTAGGTTTACCAGGTTGCGAAAAGCCTTTTCGAGGATGGCAAGGAAAAATAAAGTGGGCCCTGTCCCCGAGTCCTCCCCCCCGCCCCTCCGCCCCCCCTTGCAGGCCCCTTTTCGTAAGGACTTCCAAGGTAAAACCTATAGAAAAGCCTATAGAAGCTGATTCCAGTCCCTGAGATTTCTCAGGGAAGGTCTCTGTCTGAGGCCTGTTTGGAGCTTTAGGTCATCATATCCCATGTGGCTCTTTGTTTCCCCGCAGGCTCAGGGAAAAAAGAAGGACAGTCCCCCTGAAGGTAATGTCTGTTTCTAGGGATGTGTTCAGAAAGTCTCTCTCTCTCTGTGTGTGTGAAAGAAGCCTCTCTAACTGGCAGCCTTCTCTTCTTTCCCTTTCAGAAGAGCTCGTCCTGGAAGACCTGGAGGAAGAGGAGGAAGGCCTTGGGGCACCTTAACCCATCGTTAAGGGTTCTTGGCTTCTGTGTCTTTCCTTGAAGGTTGCGGAGATGAGGTGGTGGCGCAGCCTTGTCCCGCTGCCTCTCAGCAGGCGCCGCCCCAGGCCAAGGCCGTTTGCTGGGCCCAGCCGTGGAAGCAGCAGCCCCTGCCAGGTATGGGGGGGGGGAAGGCTGTGGTCCAGAGCATCTCTCCCAGGCTCTGGCAGCGCATCCGGAAGGTGTGGGACTAGAGAGAGGTTTGGGATGGGGAAAGGCATTCAGCTGTCAACCTCGCTCTTGTATTTTAGATTTTTGTACACAGCTTTGTGGGCCTCGGGCTTTTAAGCAATTTATAAATTCGGAAAATACATTTTTAAAAATTACATTGGCTCCTATTGTTTCAATTTCCTGTTCGCACCAAAGGTAACTATCAGAATATATTGTACTAGGATGATTTTACAGATTCCCGAGTTGGAAGATGTTATCGATAGGTGGCAATGTTCCTCTCTGTACTCTACTTTCCGGGCACCCATATTGTCTAGCCTAAATGCCAGTAGCAGCCTTCAGCGGTGCATGCTGGTGCCTAGTGTTTTGTTGTCGCTCTTCTCTGTGAAAACAGAAGTGTGGGTCTGCATGCAGTGTTAGGTTTTATGCATTCTTCTTCCCCATATTGTTTGACACTTCCTTTGCTTTCTCTTCCTAGACACCCCGTGAAGTGGCCCAGCAGGCGGTAGGTGCGGATGTGCATTGCGTGGGGGTGAGCACCTTGGCTGCTGTCCTGAACTCCTCAAAGAGCTGCATGCCGCCCAGACATTCTCGTCATGTGTGGAGGCGTCATCCCTCCCCAGGTACAACGCAGTTGAGAAGCAGTCAGAGAACAACGCAGTTGAGAAGCAGCCTCCCAAAAGCTTTCGAAAACTGTCAATATTATCAAATAATTTAAAAATCACTTTTTAAACTTTAAAATATTCATAAACATTTTAAGAAATGAAGAAAAAAGGGACCAGTTTCCTTTACTGAAATAGAAAATATATTAAAAAAATCTTCCAGAATTTGCTTTTTTTCCGGGGGGTGCGGGTGGGGTGGGGTTATAAACAAGAATAATGTTATACAAATGAGTATCCTGTACCAAGTATTCTTATGTCATTTGTATATCACAAAAATAGCATAATAAATGTGGGGAAATATCTACAACATATGTTTCATTATTAGTGGTCAAGGTAGAAGTTCTTAGTTCATGAATTGGTTTAAACAGTTAGGAAGAAGAAGGGAAGAAAGGGCTGGAGGGGGGAATGGCGAGTGGAGTGGGGAAGAATTTGCTTTTCTGCTTTGAAACTCTTGATCTTGGTATAATTGTTGCACCTGGCAAAAGATTCGTATAGAGCCACAAGTCTCTGGCTGTCTTGGAGCCGAGGTGAAAATGTTCACCACTTTTGATGATTTCATTCTTTATGTTACATAGGATAACACCTAGAGCAGAGATTGCTTGAACCTGTAGTCACTACGACTTTGCACACATGGCAAGGTTTGCGTAGGTGAGAGCATCACTGTTTCCCCCCCATAGCTAGCATACCAAGTTATTTTCCCTTCTCCATGTTTGCTACCTCCTGACCTGCCATTGCTAAACTCTGCTCTTTTAGCATGTGTTCTGCAGAATTGTACTTTACAAAGTTTGCATGCATGTTTTATGTCTGTTTTTCTCCTGCACAGGATTATGACTTCCTGTATGCCTCTGGTGTTTCCAATATATTTGGCCCTGGAACCTGAATCCCAAAGGCAGCTGTCCAAGTTCTTGATGATATTGAGAAATGCTTGGAAATGAGGCAGCAATCTCTGTAAACCTCTGTCTCATAACAAACTTTATATCTTACAGTTTGTGTTGATGCATTGTGATTTGTTGATAAAATTGTTAAATCATCTACAATGTCTGGTGTTGCCTTATGCTTTCTAAGAAAGTGGGAAATCATCTGCAATATTATTACATATGTATGTAAGATCTATCAAAGAATCTAAATGAAATGAGTAAATTTAAAGTTTTTGCATATAAGACTGCATTATATCTGAAATACACTTCAGATCTTTGGAAATGCAAATTACAATTTAAAATAAATGTTACTGATACAGAAAGGTGGCGAAATTATGTCCTGCCGTTTCATACTGTTTCTTCACCTGCCTCTTGCCCTTTCGGTCCAGTCTCGTTGCCCTAGCTTTGTTTGCTTGTCAGATTGACAAATATCCATTTCCTACCCCTGGTAGTCTGCCTCAGGCACAGGCAGCCTTCGGCCCTCCAGATGTTTTGGCCTACAACTCCCATGATCCCTAGCTAACAGGACCAGGGGTCAAGGATGATGGGAATTGTAGTCCAAAACATCTGGAGGGCCGAAGGTTGCCTATGCCTGGTCTCCCTTTTTCTTTTCCTGCTCAATAGCCTCTGTAGAGTCTGAAGTTGGTGGCCTTGCGGGAGATATGGGCAGTTTCCAGTTCTGTGACCTCACGAATCCTGTACTGAGATGACATGCACAAGACGGGTAGAGCCACCCTTTTATGAAAAGTCCTTTTTTTGTAAGGTTCTTGCTCAACAGCCTTAACAGAAGTATTGAAGGGGGAGGTGTCAACAGCCCGTTAAGCAAAGGTCTTTTCTTATTCTTCAAGACGCCTGTGCCTCTTGAGACTCCATCATTGACACCTGAGCTCAGCATCCCATACAGTCCAACAAAAGCACAAAAACAAATGCCAAGTTCACCAACATTACAATCTCTTTTAACTGCATAAATACCTCCTCTGCCAGCTATTAATATAGCAAACTCTAATTTAGTCCATGTGCTCAAAATTCCTTGCAATTCCTCAGTTCTTGCTGGCAGGTCTTTTTTTTTTTTTTTTTTAAAGAACAGAGACCTCGGAATTATCCTGCAAGCAGTTTATTATAAACTTCCTAGGAATTACTGCCCTTGCAGTGTTTCCATGGGAGATTTCATGATCTGGACTTTGGAGCAACGTTT